TTAAAATTAATTTTTAATTTTATAGAATTCATATTTGAATGCTATTATCCCTAACATAACTTTTGATTGCTTTTGATAATCATTTTTATTTGAGTACTCAAAAAGGATTTGTTTTCCTTCTTCTAAACATCTGGTCGTGACTTCTCTGATATTAAGTGAATTGAAGCTAAAGTTGTCATCTGCAGTCTCTTGTGGAAAAAGCAGCTATCTGTAGTTAGTTAGGCTTGCCTTTTTAAAAGTTATAGGCTTGCCTTTTTAAAAGTTAGTAGAATTAACAGCTTTTATTATTTTTCTGTTTATTTGTTTGTTGAAGTCCTTTAAATTCACAAATTCACAAATTTACATTCCTGTTCAAGCAAGCTAAAAGAAATAAAAAATCCTGGTTTATATCCAGGGTTATAGTACAAATATGACTAAAAGCTTTGCAAGGGTAGTTCTGAAACTATAACTTGGCCAGAGATCTAAAGAGATTGGATAAGTATCTATTATTTTGTTCAAATTCTGAAAAACTCAGTATAGGCCAATTATAAATCTGTATTAAAATGTTAGCATTTTCTTCTTTCATCAGGAATAGCAAGATAAAATATTTAATGCAAGAATTATGAAATCTAACTGTCATTATTTTGGTTTGTTCTTGCAGTTTATAAGTGCAGATGTGTATGGAATATGGGCACGTCTGTTTTGTGACTTTGGTGACGAATTTGAAGTCCTTGATACCACAGGAGAGGAACCAAAAGAAATCTTCATTTCAAATATATCTCAGGTGAGAATGTTTTAAATATTGATTATTTTTTATATGTAATAGATTCTTTTAAGTGGTTTAACTTAAAAAATTAAATTCATAAATAGAGAAAGTATATAGCAGTATTATACAGATGATAATATTTTATGCTATTTTATGCTATGCAGTTATGGATAGTATATCAAAATTGTCTTTTATGGGAAATTTGCTTTTAGTAGTGGTATTGTTCATCAAGATTAGATGTGGGGAAGATAAAGATAAATTCAATAGCATCCACTACTTAAAAATGCCCTAGTTCCTGCTCAAGAGATCCTTAGCCATAATTAGATGGACAAAGCTAAGATAAACAGCACCTAATGATAGTTTTTTTGGTATACCATTTTATATTATTTAATTTTCTTCATACTATATAGTCGAAAAAATAAATTTTTGTGTTAAGAATTTTAAGATAATTTCGGACGTTAACTATTCATTATAGTTAAATATCCTTGAATATTGTAAAATGGTTGCTACTTAACAAACCATTCTGCTTGGACATTCATTATGCCTCATTAAAGGTTAATTTCTCGGGTGTAGTGATACAGTTAGTGGATAATTTAGTTAACTAATTTGAATTACATTTTTTTCATTTGTATAGGAAATATCTTTTTTTATATTCTAGAGGATGATCAAAGTTAACTTCACAAAATATGTCCTTGGAGTAAAAATAAATAAAATTATAATACAGGTAGTCCTTGCTTACTGATCATTTATTAAATGATGTTGAAGTTCCATTGGTGCTGAAAAATGACACTTACAATGGTCTTCAAAATTACAGCCTTTGCAATGTCTTTACAGTCATGTAATCATGATCTGGGTGCTTGACAACACACATATTTTTAAATGTCACAGAATTCTATAGTCATATATGATTGCCATTTACAGTGTTCACAGCCAGCTTCCTTTTTTAAAACATAATTTTATTAAATACTTTAAAAAAGGAAATAAATATTACAAACTAACAAAATAAGATAAAGAAAAGAAAGAAAAAGATATAAAAGTGCAGGAAACAAAAAATACATAACAAAAAAGTAGAAAAATGATTAAAAAAAGAAGTAGCTTCTGATTTTACACAATAAAGATTGCTGTCAGATTTGTATTCCAAGATTGCGGTTAAGTCCTTTGCACAGTCAGCTACTTGTGAAATTGCATCACTGGTTTGGTAACTTTCTAAACATAATTACATCTCCGAATTACTCATCTTTCTTCCAATCACTTGCAAACTTTTATAACATCTTTGGAAAATAATTGATCTATAAAGTGAAGTTACAATCCTTCTTTCATACTCTTTCTTCTGGCAAATACATGCACGCAGTAACACTCCCTCTTCCAGAAAGCTTGTATGGTTACACTGTTCCTTTTCCATACTACCTCTTCCACTTCTCCTTTGTTCCTGCAAACACATACACATATACTTCCGCACACTTCCTCTTTCAACAAACTCAAATGGCCAAACACTCCTTTCTTCCAGCAACAGGGAAAAGTTTGCTAACTACGTGCATTCACTGGAGAAAGAGGGATGGCGTGGCTGCACAATTTTTCTTTTAGAGGGAATGTGTGCCACATTTATGCATGCATTTATAGAAAGAAAGAGGGAATGTTGGGAAGAAAAAGTGTGGGGAAGAGGGATTGTGTGGCCACATGAGGGGGAGTGTGTGGCTATATCTGTGTATGTGATTGCAGGAACAAAGGGAGTGTGAAAGAGGGACAGGTGGCAGTGTGAGTTTTCTGGAGAGAGAGTATGAGCCCATATGTGTGCGTGCATTTGCAGAAAGAAGTTAGGAAGGTGATCATGAAAGAGAATGTGTGGCCATGTGAGTTTGCTGGAATATCTTGGAATTATTAAATAAATTTAGAATAAAATTAAGAGCAGGTAATGTTTTTACCTTAGATGTGGAAGCTAGTTAGTTATCTCTCTCAGCCTTATATTTGGAGGTTAAAAAAATATTCCAGTTGAAAATATTGACAAACTTCCGAAAATCTTACCAATCTTACCAAGAAAATTGCTTGTCCATGTATTTATCAGGAATCAAGTCAAGAATAAGAATGATGTTTGAATTTTTACTGCAATCTTACTTATCCTTGATATTTGGTGGGTTCCAATTTCAGGCGATTTGTGGTATTGTCACCTGCCTTGATAATAATCCTCATAAACTTGAAACTGGACAGTTTGTAACTTTCCGGGAAATTAATGGAATGACATCTTTAAATGGATCCACCCACCAGATAAGTGGTAAGCCAATTTTTTTTCAAACTGTGCAGCAATAGTAAAAACATATTTTTATAAATTAAGTTTATAGCAAGAAAGATTATATACAAAATGTCTGTTCTGGGGGAAATTTGAAATAGTGGGACAATACATTACTATCATGGGAAAAATGATTAATAAGTTAATTCTTACAAAAGGATTCTAGATGCTTGGTTATTCTACTTTCCTAAAGGTTCCTGAATATATTTTATGCATTTTGTATCCATTGTATAATTTATTAATAAAGATTAATAATAATTGCAAAAGTAGCTACTGCATTGTTTTGGATAGACAGTACAACCAAATTTACACAATCCACTTGTAAGAATTGTTTCAATATCTTACTTTATTTTAATGTATTAGATTTATGTAGCAAGTGGGAGATTGAATAGATTCCCAACCAACTTAGTGGACAACTTTGTCATCCAAAAGGTAGAGGAAAGAACTAGAGGAAAAGCTATACTGGACCTAATTCTTATTAACAGAGAAGTGATAGAGGGAGTTGGTCGCCAGAACTTTGGGGCGAGAGTGACCATGTCATATTGGAATTCAATATAATGCAAATACAAGCAATAGAATATAAACAACCAGTATTTTAAACTTTAAAAAAATCGATTTTAACAAACTGGGAGAGACCCTAAGAAAAATTCCATGGATGGAAATCCTAAAGGAGAAAACAACTCAAGAAGCATAGGAAACTGAAAAATATGATCATAAAAGCCCAAGCCAGCACAATACCACTGAAAAAGAAAAACAAGAAATCCAAGAAGAAACCAGCATGGTTGCACAAAAATCTAACTGAAAGACAAAAAGGATACAAAAAAATGGAACAAGGGATGAATGTAAGGCAGAATATCAACAGATAGTCCGAATATGCAAAGATGAAATCAGGAAAGCAAAGGTTCAGAATGAATAAAGACTTGCAACAAAAGTCAAAGATAATTTTTTAAAAAGTTTCTTAACATACAAAAAATGAGAAAAAAGTCAAGGAAAGAGTTGGTCCACTAAAGAGAGAAGATGGCATGGAAATAAGAGGCAGTAGAGAAAAAGAAAAGCTGCTTGATTCTTTTTGCATTAGTTTTCATTAGTTTTCATGTAAAAAGAAACTATAGCTAACTGTAAAAGACAGATTAGAAATAAAAATTAAAATACGTATGAAAATGATATGAGAACATCTGTCTGATCTTGATGGATATAAATCACCAGGATCTGATGGATTATATCCAAAAGTTCTGAGGAGCTGGCAGATGTTATCTCTGAACCATTGTATCATATCTTTCAAAAATCCTGGAGCACCAGGGAACTACCTGAGGATTGGAAAAGAGCTGATGTGGTGGTGCCCATCTTTTAAAAAATTGAAAAAAAATCAGACCCAGGACCCACTGACCAATCAGCCTAACATCAATACCTGGGAAGGTACTGGAAAAGTTAGTCAAAAAGCAGATCTGTAAAAATCTAGAAACAAAGTTAAAAGTAAAAGCCAGCATGGATTTGTTAAAAACAGATCATGCCAAACTAATCTTATTTCATTCTTTGACAAGATGACTAAATAGACCAGTGAAATGCTGTGGACATAGTAATCTTAGACTTCATTGTGGCATTCAACAAAGTAGACCACAATCTACTTCTTGGTAAACTAAAAAAATGTGAGATGGACAGCATCACCAGGTTGACAAATCATACTCAACAAGTAGCCTTTAATGGTACTACATATACATGGAGGGAAGTAGTGGGGTATGATAAGGTTCCATCTTAGGCCAAGTATTCTTCAATATCTTCATAAATGACTTAGAGGAGGGAATAGAATAGCCAACACGCCAGAAAAAAAACTCAGGATCCAAAGACATCTTGACATTTGAACAATGGGCCCTATCCAACAAAATGAAATTTAATGTGGAGAAAAGCAAGGTTTTACATTTAGGCAAAAACCCTCAAAAGTACAAGCAAAATTAGGCAAAAGCTGACTCAAAAACAGTAATTGTGAGAGAGATCTTGGAATCCTAGAGGACGACCACTTAAACATGAGTCAGCAGTGTGGCAGCAGCCAAAAAAACTAATGCAATCTTTGATTGTATAAACAGAGGCATAGAATCAAAATCTATTAGTAGTATTAGTACCATTTTATAAATCCTTAATAAGTATTAGTACCATTTTATAAATACTTAATAAGACACACCTGGAATATTGTATCCAGTTTTGGTTATCACATTACAAAAAAGATGTTGAGACTTTGGAAAAAGTGCAAAGAAGAGCAACTAAGATGATTAAGGACCTGGAGACAAAAACATGAAAAACAGTTGCAGGAATTCTATGGCTAGTATTTGAAGGGCTGCCACAAAGAAGAGGGGATCCATCTATTTTCCACAGCTCCGGAAGGCAAGACAAGAACCAATGTATGGAAACTAATCAAAAAGAGGAGCAACCTGGAATTAAGGAGAAACTTTTTAACAGTGAGAATTAGCCATGGCATAGCTTGCCTTCAGAAGTTATAGGTACTTCATTACTGGAGGTTTTATAACTGTTTTGACTGGACAGCTACCTGTCTGAAATGGTGTAGGGTCTCCTGCTTGAGCAGCGGGTTGGACTAGAAAACCTCAAAGGTCCCTTCCAGCTCTATTCTTGTTGAACTGAGGAACCACCTATCTCTCTTGGTTATGTAGTAGGAGCCAACAAGATTAGCATGCTCTGGATCCTTTCAGTTAAGAGTCATTTTTTGGAACCTAGGAAGCTTTCTCTTCTGTGGCACCTGCTTTCTGGAATGAGGTTCCTCCTGATATCTGTGTAACTCCCACTTTTGACCTTCCTGAAAACCTTAAAGTCTTGGCTGTTCTCACTTCTCTAAACTATCAATGTTATTTTGAAATTATCTTCTGTGTTAAAATCTCAACCAACTTTATTTATGAATTTGATAGACATATCTTCTTCCTTTTCAACCAAGAGGCTTGTTGGTGACCAATAGTTAAATATTTGGCATAAACAGGCCAGTTTTGTGTGGAATTCCATGTCCCAAACATTTCAGGCCACTTTAGGTTTATATGATTCATTTTCAGAGAAACCACCAACTACCTTAGAAGAACATAGTCTGTGGAAGGATTCTCTGAAATGTTCCATTCCCAAAGCAGAGAGTTCTGCATATTACTATTAAATACTTTTTCATTCTTATATTATTCTGATTATTATATAGTTCTTTCTATAGTCATAGAATAGAATTTCATTACTTTGTAATGAACTTTGTTCTATTTTTATATAATTGTGTATGATAGAGAATTAGCTTACCATTGTAGGGGTTGATTAGTTCAGAACTGAGTTCAAAACAGTAATACTCAAAGTAGATGTGTAGAACTATACAAAACAAACATTTTCAGTTTCCTTTTATTTAAGACTAGCCGATAACCCGGTGTTGCCCACATATTTATTTATCCCAATCCTGTATTAGACTGGAAAATCCTGTAATTGCGACTCACACTGTTGTACTGTCTCTCATGCAGTGTCGCAAGTGTTCTTTTCCTCTCCTCAGGAGTTTCTTGTCGATGCTGGTGTTTCATTTTTGTAGCGTTTGATTGCACTTGGCCAATCAGCTGATGTTTCTTTGAAGGGCTGAGAGAGACCCCCCCTTGTGGAGTACTGTGAAGTTGTTACCATGGCAAGTCCACTGTTCTGTACAGTAGAAGCCATTAAGGTACCCACACACCCCGAGGGGTGTTAGGGGTGTCTGACCCTCACAGTATTTGTTTCCAGAAGGTAAGTCATCTGTCTACAAGTTTGATTGAAATTGCTCAAAGCGTTCCAGAGTTATGCTGGAACACACACACACACACACACACACACACACACACACAGAGAGAGAGAGAGAGAGAGAGAGAAAGAGAGATAGATAGAGATATAGAGATATAATCAAATAAGTAAGATAAAATCCCCCCCAACTTATTTCTTTTTCTTTCAGTGATATCACCTTATTCCTTCAGCATTGGGAATACTGCAGATATGGAACCTTATTTACATGGTGGTATAGCTGTCCAAGTAAAGATACCTAAAGTATTTCATTTTGTAAGTGACTTTAAAGATAACTATTAACAATATGTGTATTTATTCGTCTAGTTTTTATTGACCTGAATGAGATGAATTAATGTATGGGAAATAATTAGGAAGAATGAGAAATCTTAATGAGGCAGGCAAATATGATTTAGCAAATATTATGGTTGGATAAAATTAATGAGTAAAATGCCAGTATTGGAGTGTATAACTTATTTAAAAGAAACTGGCTCTGTGAAAAGGGAAGAGGAATGTATTGTATATGAAGAAAGTACACACATATGCAGAAAACCAGGAATACTAGCTTGGTACAAATTTGAATACATACTTGGTAATATTCAAAGAAGAAACTGTATGCATGGTAGGTATAAAAGTTTGGTTCCCTTTACTATTTCATAACAAGTTCTTTGGCATTAAAAATAGGTTATAAATGCTTCCTGTAGCAAACTAAGAATCTTTCTAATCTTTATTAAGACTTTTACACAAGGGAGTGAGATCTGCTGCCTTTTGGCATGTAGTAGTTTGTCCTAAATGTTTTGATCTGGATTTTATTGTTTGTGTGCCTGTTTCTAATTATTGGTCTTAAATAGATTTTTCCTTCTACTTTAAGTTTTTATTTTTATTTTTATGCCTTTTGATCAGAAATATGATTGTTACATATTTTTATTAAGTTTCAGCATCCTGCATTCACCTGGTCATCACTCATGTAGTTTACGACAAGGGTGCATTTTCAACCATTGTAGCATCCCTTGTTCATGTGATCACCATTTGTGGGGCTTGCAACTGGCTTGTGAGAAGCACTTAATAGAGAAGGCAGAAGTAAAACTATAAATCACAACATGATTTTTTGTTTAGCAACCACATTTAATTTAATGATTGAAATGAAAGTAGGATCATAAGCCCATGATGGTCATGTCATTTTCCACTTAGGCACCACAAGATTTAGCAATCAAATTGTCAGTCCCAATTGTGGTTACTAAGCAAGGACTGATTCACTGAATAAACAAATACACTGAACTAGTTAAACATGTTTTAGCCTGGCATTGTAACCAAAGAACCTCTATTTGTGAAATAGAGTAGGAAAGAATATAATAGAATAGAATGAAATGGAATGGAATGGAATGGGGTGGGGTGGGGTGGGGTAGAGCAGAGCAGAGCAGAGCAGAACAGAACAGAACAGAACAGATATAGAACAAAATAACAATTTCAAGGCAAAGTATCTAAGAAATTAGGAAGAATAGGATCCCACAGGAATCTGATGATATATATCAAAGATTCATAAGTGGTTTATCTAGAATATATTACATTGATTTTTTTAAAAAAAATATATAGCGCCTTTACTTTTAGTCTATTGTGTAAACTTAGCCCATACGGTTGGGTTGAAAAAAGTAATTGAGTGAAGTAAACCATAGATAAACTAACAAGAACAGCAATAGTCCTCTTATACAAACATTCAGTTCCCCCATCTTAATATCTTAAAATAGCTTCCCCCAATCTTTTGAGAGCCAGAGATCAGTTCTGTATAGTGTGGCTTTTCTGAAGACTGGGGAGGGGCATGATTTCATGTGCTGCCTGGATTCTGCACGTGCACAGATAGGGCTTTATTCACTTGCGAATTCCAGTTCCTAGTAGGCTGCAGACTAATGCCGTCTGTGGCTGGGGGTTGGGGACCCCTGTCCTAAAAGAATTTTGTTGCTTGGATGTAGGAGCAATAGTACAATACTTGTGAACTGATATTGTGGAACAATATAAAAATTATGCTCATTGTGATTGGCTCAACAACTATACCTTCTTGCTGGTGATTTTTCTGTGGAGAATGGTGGGATTTTATCCTCTTGAAACTCTATTTAAACATTTTTATTTTTTCCACTATCTTTGGAATCACATTCCATTTTTTTGGTAGTTTCTGCTATTGTACTCTCCTAATATTAATGCATGCATTTGAAAAATATGGACAATCTTAATTCAGTTTGCCTGTGATTATTTCTTTGTTTTGGAAATTATATATAGATTCCTTTTTCCTCCTAGGAACCATTGGAGAAGCAGTTGTGTAATCCATCTTATCTTATTGCTGACTTCAGCAAACCTGAGGTTAGTTTATTTGGAATATATAAAGATAATTGAGCTTAAAAATAATTTATTAAATGTGCATGAATTAAATTAATTTTATTTATATGCTATTTTTTTTCAAAATAGTACTTAAAATAGTGAAAGATCAACATAAATCCATTAAATGTATAATATTTTTAAAATATTTAGATTCAGCAAAACATTCAACATTATTGATGACATAAACGAAGTTTAATACAGATCACAATATACAACAAAATGAACAGGATAATAAGTAACAATTGAAGATAAGCTGTGCTATCAGTACTAATTCATTTCAAGTACCATAGCAGTGTAGAATAAATAAATTCACAAATATTTGACTTTATTCTGTTGATTTTTTCATTCATTTATTTGTTTGGTAAATTTGGTAAATTTATATAGTGACACATCTCATGTATGTGATTCTGGGCAGCAAGCAAAGTTAAAAAATACAACATATTACAAACAAATATAAAAACACAAAGCATTTAAAAATTAAAAGCAATAAATCCATTAAGATCATAAAGTGTAATTTTGCATAGTCACAATATAGTCACTATATACTGTAGATTCCGTACCCTTTATTTAATCCCTAGACCAGATGGTAAAGTCATGTTTCCAGGCTTTATTTAAATATTAATATTTAATATTAGTCATCCACCTATAGGTGCATATGTGTACATATGGTAAGGATGATGGGGTTGGATATGTGATTATGGAGGTCATAGATTTGGATGGTCTAGATCAGCGGTTCTCAACCTGTGGGTCGCGACCCCTTTGGGGTTCGAACAAACCTTTCACAGGGGTCGCCTAAGACCATTGGAAAACACATATTTTCGATGGTCTTAGGAACCGAGACACTGCTCCTCTATCCGTCTCCAGGCGGCTCCGCCCATATGCAGATACACCCACATACAAGTACCCAGCGTGATGATATCATCACGCCAACCCCATCACATACACCCCGTACAAATACAGGTGTATATGACAGGGTTGGCATTATAATGTACTTATGCGGACCAGTCACACACGTGTAGAAAAAGCTACTGTGTAGAAAGCAGCTGCTGTGTTGAAAGCAGCTACTCTGTTGAAAGCAGCAGTATTGGAGGACACTTCATGAATTATAATTACTGGGTAAATGTAAAATCATCAACTACTGCAAAAAAAATATCTGTACCATGGGAACTTAATCTGGATGCTGATCTGTCTTTTTATATTCAGCTATGGTTGATGTGAATACTGCCCCCTTGTGATAGTAACAGCTATGTAAAAAAACAACACAGAGAATGGTAAAACATAGGAAACGTTAATGAACTGTATTGACTGAACTATGCCATGTATCATCTTTTGCATTATTAAAGCTATTGTTATATATTATTTACATTATGATTCAAAACAGTAGCAAAATTACAGTTATAAAGTAGCAACAAAAATAATTTTATGATTGGGAGTCACCACAACATGAGGAACTGTATTAAAGGGTCGCGGCATTAGGAAGATTGAGAACCACTGGTCTAGATCAAGGGTGTCAAACTCACATCGTCATTGCATCGTCACATGACATATTGTGACTTTTTTTCCCTTTGCTAAACTGGGTGTGGACATAGCCAGTGCGTGACGCATCCAGCCCGCAAGTTTGACAGCTCTGGTCTAGATTCTAGAGCAAGGATGTCAAACTTGATCCTGTCGTGGGCTGCAGGCCAATTTCATGGCTGTTCTAGAGTATTGTTGATTTGAGATGGAGGAAACTTATTACACCTAGTAACTAAAGTTGTGATATTCAGTGGCAACATGATTTGGAAGGGTACAAAACCATTGTGACAGTATACAAGAGGATTGGAGGGGCGAGGTTGTCAGGTGACTTAATGGAAGCTGGTGCTCTTGTCTGAAATGCTGGGATGCCAATAAGGGTAATGAATGAAACTATTTTGCAGAATCAAGAAGCCTTAAAACCCATAGCCATTCAGTTTTGCTAGAGTTGAGACAAGCCTGTTTTCCCCATCCAGTCTGACACAACCTCCAGGCTTTGCACATCATTTGGTTGTTCTAAGGCAAAGATGTACATCTTGATATCATTAACCTACTGATGATACCACACTCTGTATCACCATATGACCTCTGTGGCTTCTGAGGCTATACTTGCTCCATGGAACAGCATCTCCCACCCCCGCCCTCCAGTGATCTAAGTGGTTCTGACCTGCTTGCCTTTTATAAGGCTCTGAACATCTGGCTGTTCCTCCAATTTTTGGGGTCAGGCAGCTAGCTAAGCTCTACTGGTGATGTGGTTTTGTTTGGAGGGTTATTGTTTCATTAGGGCATTGTGAGTTTGTACAGTTATAATGGCTTTAAACTTTGTATGCTGTTCAGATTTACTGTTGTAAGATAGGAGGCTCTATAAATTGTATGTATACATGAAAATATGTGTGTACACACACGTATCCATACATAGAAAAAGCAATGTTATATACATTAATGCCAGAATGCTGCTTGCTGAGTTAACTATCCTCTTAAAAACCTTAAATTGTACAAGAAAAAATGTGCTTGTGAAAGTAACTTATTTAAATCTCTGACAGAGATTTGCAAAGAATATGGCAGATATTTGGAAAAAACCTTAAGCTAGATATTATTGTAAATTAAATTGAACAAAAACAAATGAGTTTTGTAGCATGTTCTAGAAATTAATAGGATTTATTAGGATTAGTGTCCATTTTGTCAGATTTGTTAACAGTAAAGAGGCCAGTACATATTTTGCTCAGTGGGCTTTAAACTATGAAAGCTTATCCCATAATAAATCATTTTAACTTTACTGCCAGAAGATTTGTTACTGTTTTTGTTGTATAAGAACATAATATAGTTATCCTTTAGAAACTGTATTTTTTAAACTTGTACTGTACAATATTTGTTCTTTTTATAGGCACCTCTACAGATTCATATTGCTATGCTTGCTTTAAATGAATTCCAGGAGAGTTTTGCTCGTATGCCAAACATTGGGTAAATACATTTATAATCATAGTTACATAAATATTATAATTAAGTGGGTCTAAATTTTAATAGATTTATATTTGCTTATTTCTTGATTTGATTAAGTTAAATTGCAATTTTATGCATACTTAACTTTTTGTAAAGTCTTATTTATTGCAATGGAATCAAAGTGGTTTAATTGTAAATAAGATAACTTTTATTATCATTTTTTGTGTGAACACACATACGTACATATACATATACCTATGATATATCTATCTACCATATTTTTGGACTATAAGATGCTCTGAAGTATAAAATGCAACTAGCTTTTGGGGAGGGAAAAAAACAATCTGCCTCTGCCTCCCAGCAATTTGTCTCCTTGCAGCAAACAGCCTGGTCAGCTTCAGCAGCTTCACAAGCAGCTGATTGTCAGTTGGATCTGCCTCCTGATGATCACCATTGCCTATTGCTGCCTCCACAAACCATTTTTTGGCCTCCGTATCCTGTTTTCAGCCTCCATGTGCCCCATTTTCAGCCCATTCCAGGCAGCGGGGGTCAGAACAGGTCAAAAATGGGGCACACAGAGGCCAAAAATGGGATGCGGAGGCTAAAAATGGGGTATGCAGATGCAGCAATAGGTGATACTGATCCCTGCAGACTGAAACAACCGATCGTCGGGAGGTCTATCCAACTGACAATCAGATGCTTGTGCTAATCAGGCTGTGTTGAAGCTGACCAGGCAGTTTGCTGTTTGCTGCAAGGAGGCAAATTGCTGGAGGCAGAGGCCAAAGGGTGGGGGGGGGGGCGCGGTGGGTGGATGGGGCTTCGGCAACATTTGCTGTATAAGACAGACATTTCCACCCACTTTTTGGGGGAGGGGAAAAGTGTACCTTATACACTGAAAAATTATCTATCTGTCCGTCCATCCATCTATCCATCTATCTATCTATCTGAATGTGTGTATTCATAAATACCTACACACACACATACATATTAATCACGTAATCACAGACCATTTAGAATACATAGTGGAAAAAAAGTTTTGAGAGTTAACAAGGTTGATATTATATGGTATAAAGCTATTACAGAATCTAGTTGTTTCTTCTTCAGATACTGTGAAATCTTCTCCCAGAAGGTAATAAAGAAAACTGGTGATGGAGAGGATATGTAGCATCCCAGAAAATATTGCAGACCCTGGTCAAGCAACACTTATATGCTATGTTTTGGATAGAAGGAAGTGAATTTCCAATAATCTTTTCTGCCATCATCACCACTCTCTGCACAGCCTTCCTGTCCAAAACAGTAATATTTCCAAATCACATGGTAACATGATACAACAAGTTGCTTTCAGTCATCTCTCTATAGAAAGTGGTAAGGATAGTGGAAGGAAGATATGTTCTTCTCATATGTCACAGAAAATGCAGGTGCTGCTCTGCCTGCTTCACCAGTGTCTCACTGATTGAGGACCAAGCTAACCTCCTCGTCAGCGCATACCAAAACCTTGATACTACTAACCACTTCCATAGTTGAAGCATTAACATACAGAAGTGTATGGCTGTCTCTGCCTTTTCTTCCATAGTTGAAGCATTAACATACAGAAGTGTATGGCTGTCTCCACCTTTTCTGAAATCAATAGCAATTTCTTGTTTTCCTCCATTTAAAACGAGGCTGTTTTTATTACACCAGTAATAAACCCTCTACCTCCCTCCTTCTGGTAATCGTGTCAATTTCATCCTGAATAAGGCCCACTACTGTTGTACCATCTGCATACCTCCCAGTATGGTTTGTATCAAACTTTGCACAATAGTCATGGGTTAGCAAAATGAACGATGGCAGACTTAGGACACAGCCCTGAGGAGAACTTGTGCTCAAGATGTTAAAAATCTTAGCCCCAACTTGCACGTACTGGGGCGTATCAGTGAGAAAATTAAAAATCCAATTGCACAGATTATTGAAGTCTAAAAGGCCCAGTTTATTTACTAAATACTGAGGAATGATCATATTAAATGCCAAACTAAAGTCAACAAATAGCATTCACACATGAGTATTTCTTTCCTCTAAGAGTGCCAAGCTCAGATGGAGAACATAGGAAATAGCATCCTCAGTGGAACGATTTGGATGATAAGCAATCTGAGTCAAATGCTGCAAGGAGACTGGATAGAAAAAAAAACCTTTATCAGGCTTTCAAAACATTTCATAATGATGGACATAAGTGCAACCAGATAATAATCATTAAGATCTATGATTGAAAACTTTTTTGGCACTGCCAAAATAATGGCGGTCTTAAAACAGGATGGAACCACAGCCAGCTGCAATGAAAGATTGAAAATATCTGTAAGAACACAAGCCAACTCATCAGCCCACTCCCTAAGAACATGCCAGGGATGTTATCTGGGTCTGCTTCTTTTTGAATGTTAACTTTCCATAATGTCATTCAGACAGAGATAACATCAAAGCTAAGCACTTTCTCATCAGGATAGGGCACAGCTTTCCTTGAAGAGGTACTATTTGATACCTTGAATCTTTTTTAAAAATGTGTTCAGCTCATTTTAAAAAGTCTGAGTCATCCTTAAAATAGGAGACAGTTTAACATTGTTCGGTGTAGATAAAGCACCAGGCTAAAAATTGGGAGATCATGAATTATAGTCTTGTCTTAGGCACAAAGTATCTGGGAAACATTTAGCCAGTCTCTCCCACTCAACTCTAGAAAAATCTTGCCCAAACCTGCAGGGATTAGTCTTGGAAGTTGGCAGGAGCCAACACCAACACCAACAAAAAGTATTTTTTCTCTCTCTTTCAGAAAGCAGGAGAAGTTAAAAGCTCAGTGTATAATTCAGCAATTAATTCAGGCTTTTGAATAATTTTCTTTTGCATCTGCTTTTGAACAAATTACTGTTTTCAGTAGGTTTTCAATGTTTCAGGACAGATGGACATGTCCAACCTTCTATACCCAGAAGATAGTTGTACAAACTTAACCTGTTTCAGGCTATTCTGCCTCGGAAACACTTGAAAACTGCCTGTTATTCATTCTATATGCCATCTGAGCAGATAGAACCTTCCATTATCCTTGGTCTGATGGAACTAGAGTATTAAATTTCACTGTAGCTCAGAAAAACTGCAACCCTTTTGACTGTTTCTGAAATTTAAATTAACTCAGGCAACACTTGGACAGTTATCTGTTGAAGGCAGTTTTGTTTGGTTTGCTACATAGAGAACATAGGTTTAATGGCAAAACGTTGCTTTTTAAACTTATGATTCCACCTCTTTTGGCCTGTTTTTCTTTCTCTAAACATAAACATTTCCAGATAATCTTCATTCACCTGTCACCATGAAAGCCTTTCAAAACTGAGGTGTAAACAATTTAAAAGCTTTCCTAAAATGTGAATTTTTCACACAACTGTACTGTTCTGCTTTGTGCTAGGGTACAATGTCATGGACCCTGAGGCATGAATAAAATAGAACCCTTAGGACCCTGAGGCGTGAATAAAATAGAATGGAATGGAATAGGAATAGGACAGAACAGAACAGTTGAAAGGGACACTGGAGATCTTCTAGTCCAATCACCTGATTAGGCAGGAAACCATATACCATTTCAGACAAATGGTTATCCCATCTCTAAACTTCCAGTATTGAAGCATTCACAACTTCTGGAGGCAAGTTTTTCCACAGATTAATTGTTCTAATTGTCATTAGTAGCAGTGAAGGGATAGCAGGGCGAGAAGATTGCTTCTGATTTTACTTTCTTGATTTCAGCATCAGAAATGTGTCAGAATACTCCAAAGAGGCACATGGTACTCAATGAATCAGCCTCCCATGTATTAGATTCTGTTGATAGTGGATATCAACCCAAATATTATTCTAATTGAAAGAGTTATTACAATTTATTGAGCAGTTGCTTTCTGTTTGTGCCAAGTCTCATAATCCGTATGGCTTTACTATACTAGAATAGCATTCTATATATATTATAACAAATTGGTGGAAGGAACCACCCCAAATAACCAATCTTCATTACATTATTGTCTGTATAAATTAATCCAGCACATATTTCCAGAATTAAAATGAACTATTGGTATAAAAAAAAATCTAAAATATTCTGTGATCAAATTAGCTTTTTTAAAGAGCAAATGAAGATGGAAAAGAAAGAATTCTGTCTGAAATTAAGTGATAGATAACAGCAATAAATTCCCTTCTTCAAAGCAACAGTAACTATTTTAAGAAGTCCAATAATAAGTGTCAGGATTTTTTTTCAATCAGTACCTTTCAAATATTTTGGGATTATAAATTTTCATATTTCAGAATTTATTGATTGAGAACATTTCAAATACTGGATGAAGTATTTCTATTCCATTTTTCCAGGGATTTAAACATTTTTAATGTTTAAATATTATTGCTTATTGCTGTTATATTTCTATTTTTATGCAATTCCCCTTGTTTTGACTTTTTTATTTTTAATATCAATATTTTGCAGTTTATTTTTTATTTCTTCATACTATAGATGTTTTATTGAACAGCATTTTTGTTATTGTGGATATTTTATGTTTATCTGCTGATAGTCTGCATAATTCAGCAGCATACAGATTTAATAAATAACACATCCACATGTCTATGGAGATTCTCAGTCATCCAGGTTATGGTTGTCCAGTTGCTTCTTGAAAAAGCACCTTTGGGACAATACATCCACATTTGACTATGCCAAGTCCTTGGAAAGGACTCAATAGGTAGACAAAAGATAAAAGCTAAAACTAGATACCTCATCAAGTGTGTATGTGTGTATTTTATTTTAAGAGTAGCATAAGGTTGCTACATTATTTTTGTTTTGGCTCTAGATGTATTCAAGATGCTGAAGAAATGGTGAAGATAGCTCTGTCCTTAAGCAAAACCCTGGAAGGCAAGGTAATTCCTTTAAAGCTCAGTAATAATTTAAAATGTTCAGTTTATTTTTCAGTTCATTTTTTTGACAGTAAATGAGACTCTAATATGTATGTTTGTAAGTCTAGTGTGATGCACTATGGTTAATAAATTACAATTTACAAATACAAAGGAAGTTATAATTACTATACATTTCTAAATATTTCTACCAAGAATATTAAACAGATTTCCACAATTGTTTTGAATTAGGCATCTCTGAACACTAGTAATATGTTAATTATGAAAGTTAAGTGGAGATCTGTATATGACAAATTTTGTTCCAGTTTGAGTGGAGAATTGTATGTATGGTACTCCTCAGTTAATGACAGTAATTGGACTGGAGTTTCAGTTTCTAATTGACACAATAATAAATCATGATATAACATTATCATATCACTTTGTGATGCCCATCCAAGCAGTTCCTGTTGCTGTTGCTAAGGGAAAGATATGGTTTGTTAAACAGGGATCTCACATGATTATGATTAGTAACTTTCTGTCAACTTCCCACAAGCAAAGTTAATGGGGAAGTCTCTGGAAATTGCATGTCCTGGATGGCTTGCAGGTAAGCCAGAGGACTAGGAATGAGGTGGGGAGTGCTGTGGTATTTGTGGGCTGGTTAGGGATTGCGGCCATGCCATGTGGTGGATGAGTTGGGGAGAGAGAGTGGCAACATGATCTTGTGCTTTGTAGCAGGACAGTTGTTTTTATACCCCAGTTATTTATTTTTTAAATTGTATGCCTGCTTTTTCATATGATACCTGTTTGCCACATTATGATTACAGTGGTGAAAAGAAGGGCTGAATTTGAATGAGGAATGAATTCTGGATGAGTCGTTGGAAAACTGCTTTGTATATAATTTATATATGTTTTCAAATCTGGAATATTTATTTGTTTTTAATTACAGCATCAAGTAAATGAAGACATTGTGAAATGGCTATCAAGGATGGCACAGGGCTCTTTAGCTCCTCTGACAGCTGCACTTGGTGGCATTGCTAGTCAGGAAGTCTTAAAAGCAGTGACTGGAAAGTTTTCTCCCCTGCAGCAATGGGTAATTGCTTATTGCTTTTGAATTGAGTGTTTCATTTTTATGACTAATTTCAAATAATATACTAAGTATAATATAATTTATTGGGTTTTAGTCTTGTGTGCTGTGGGCATTTAACCATTGTTTAATAAACAATTTTGAGTGTGTGAATGTATGGCCCAATGCATTAATGTCAAAAGTCTAAAGTGCAGCCTTCTCAAAATGATTTTTATGTGACATAAGGGGAATATTTTTTAAATAAATGACTAAAGAATAATATTTTTTTACTTTTATTCTTTTAAAAATAAATTAACTCATATATAAATTTGTTGTCTTATCCACTGTTATTTTAGACCACCGTTTCTGCTACATTGTTCAAAGAATTTGATTCTACAAAATATGACATTTTTAATAACACTGCAAATTTTACTTAATTTAACAATGTGTGATTCATGAATGTGTGTTTAAATAAATATGCCGTAATAAAGTGGATGAAGCAAGTATGCAGAAAAGCGTGATATGATCACTGATTGCCTTCAGATAATGTGCTGTAACACAATGAATAAATCCTGTTTCTACATTTTTCTTTTCTTTCCCGTTGTTCCTTACTTAGAAGACTTAACTAAAGAATTGATACCTGATAATCTTTTTAATGTTATTGAATTACAATTTTGAGCAACACCAGGCAGTCAGCAATCCATAATATAGGATGTTGGAACTTGTAGCTCAATAATATAAGGGATGCCACAGTTTTCCTATGCCTGGTATCATTTTTAATGTCACTTTTAAGTAATCACAATGTGCTGTTGTATTCCAACTGGTAAACTGTGCTTCAAATAAAATCATTCTAAACCAGGATTATAGTTCTGACTTGGACAGTTCAAACAATAGTTTACCAATTTCTCCAAATGGAGCAAATTATACTACATATATTGGAGATCTTATATTTATGTCATCTGATTGCAGTTATGAGCTGATTAAAATGTGGACAAAGGTTCTGTTTATTTTAATTATAGGATGAAGTTAAATTTAAGAAATAACACAGTGACAATATCCTTTAGAGTAGAAATTGTTTAATACCCAATTATAACAAATTATGTATTTGCTGTAGTGAATTCATTAATCATTAATTCATCCTGAAATTTGAAAGTTATTAGTACTGACTGAAAATAATATGGGGATAGGTTTACATTTAAATTTTTGGAGCAAATACCAATATATTTTATATAAATATTTTTTTTTTTACTGAAAGTGAAATCAATAAACTTTAATGGAATTTAGTTTTCAAATAAGCAGTACCTTAACAGTTGCACTGTTCATATATAATTTGTATATAAAACTGTGTTTTCTTAAATAATCACAGAAGTTCAACTATGGAGAGGAGCATTAAACTTCTTCTGTGTCTTACCGAAGTGTGGACTCCCTGGTCCTCTCTGAGCTTGGTTATTTGCTTGCAAATATTTTGTTATCCAACTATGTTAGCGCTAATGAGTGTGGTGTTTGTTCACAGTTTATATACGGTAACTTTCTTTGCCAGTGTTGGTGAGGGTGTGGTTTTTCTTCTTGGTAATTCCTTGATCGGGGTATTGTTTTTTGCTTTAGAGTTTATCTGTGTTAATCCCTGCTTATTTGGCTTTTTGCTGTTTGAGATGTGTTCTGGTCTTATCAAGGTGCTGCAGATATAAATAAATGCAGACATATAAAAAATACCGTAGGTACATTTTTTACTGGACAGAGCTTAAGTTGTTTTGGGGGCCTAAATTTCATACAAGTGTTAGTACTTTTCTATTTCAGATACGATGTATCATGAGATCCAGTTTGTTTCTGCTTCTTCTTGCAAGGTTATCAGAAATGTTAATGTAGACCAGAGCTTTATGATATAGAAACCCAAATAATGGAAAGTAAAATAAAGCTTACAGCAAATTAATTTTTAGTTTCCTATATTGAAATAATCTAATTATGCATTATCTGCTGACTCACTAAACAGAGATTTATACTCCACAGTGTACTGAAACATTTATGTGTGAAAGAAGATTACAAACATGATAAGCTTTCCTCATCTATACCATGATAGTCTAAAAAATACACTACCATGTCTTCTGCCTGGTTGTAATTATATTTTAAAGATTTTACATTGCCATACAACAATATTTAGGGTTTACAGATGTTTCAAAAGAGGCACTTCATAACACCTGACTTCATCTATAAATTCACCTTTCTTTTAAATGTATGCAACATTTTCCACATTCATTTATAGGTAGCCTTTGACTCACAACTGGTTGTTTAATGACCGTTTGAAGTTACAACGGCTCTGAAAGAGTGCTTTATGTTCCATAAAATACTTCCAGCTACTTTAAAACATTGCGGGGACCCCTCATGTAGCTATGTGTTTGTGATCTGAGAACTCAGTAGTTTATTTTCATTTATGACCAATTGCCAAGTATCTCATGATCATATGATCATCATTTACAGTCTTCTTTTTGCTGGCTCTCCCAGGAAGCTGGCAGGGAAGATTCCAAGCTGTTGCTACCTGTCAAAGAATTTGTCCTCCCCTCTCTGCATGGGGAAGGGGAATCTTTTTCTGGGTTGGAGAAAAAAAGATTAAATGTTTCAAGATCTTTCATCCCTCCAGTCCAGTGCAAGAATTACTTTCTGCACATAGAGGAAAGGGGACTTCTGTGGTGAGCTGGAGAAACAAAGATCTATGCATGGAGGGGATGTGCTTACTTTCCTTTGGCAAGCAACAATTTTGCTTCTGTGATTGCTTAATGATTGCAACTGGGAGAGCCATGATTATGGTCATTGAGTAAAGCAGTCACATGGATGTCTCACTTAATGATAAGTTTACAGTCCCAGTTGTAGTTGCACATCAAGATCTATCTGTTTTGAAAAAACAATTCTGACTGTCATTACCTGCATGTGGTTGACCAACCATTTTGCTTTGCATTTTTCCTCAGAAAAGCACACATGCATACATTGGGGGCTGGAAAAAGATAAAGTTCTTTAAAGGAGACTGTTTCATTTTTCTATTCCACATGGTAAAAAGGTGTTTTCAAATAATGTGTACAGCCCTAATAAATAGCCCTATTTGGAATCTGACTTTGTGATTTGTGATCATTGCATTTTTTTCATCTATAGCTGTATATTGATGCATTGGAATTAGTCACATTTCCAGAAAAAGCCCATGATGAAGAATTCCTTCCAAGGTAAATATTTAATGAACTATTTTGCTTTCCTTAATTATTTTTCTTCAGAATATTTATCTAAAATTGAATAAATTGACAGTTGGTAGCTAAACAAAAATGACCCAGTTAACTTAATGACTTCAAGCTTAACTTAAAAACTTAAAATATGTGATTACAATTTTACTAAATCTAAATCTCATGCTTAATCCCATTCTTTTGGTCCTGCAGATGGGTTAGAATTTGTCATCATCTTAGCTAACATAGCAACATAGAAATTTGAGAAGGCTGCTCTAAAACTTTATTCCATACAGTCTGAAAGCATGTACATTAATTTTAAATATAAGTAAATAGTGTAAAACATGGGTGGCATATCCATACAGTCTGTGGGTTGCCAATATGTGGCCTAAACTCTTAAAAACTGAGTATGAATGATGTGAAGTAATTTTGAAATATGTTTCTTGAAATATTTTTCATTTTTCACATCCTTTGACTTATAGGGGAGACAGATACGATGCTCTAAGAGTGTGCATTGGCGACTCCTTGTGCCAGAAATTAAAGAATCTGAATGTTTTCTTAGTGAGTATGACTTTGATGTTAACTCGTCAGAGAGGATTTCTTAAATGGAATGCTAAATGACTTTTTAAAGACAATTTGGGCTCTGTTCTTGGGAATTAAATTTAGAGGTCATCTGTTTTAAAAATTATGGTACTGTTTATTAATTAAAATTTAAGACTAGGCACTAGAATCGTGATGGTGAACCTATGGCACACCTACCACAGGTGGCATGCAGAGCCATTTGTCCGGGCACGCAAGCCCCAGGCAAACTTACCTCACTGCGTATGAATGCGCCTCCCAGCTGATTTTCGGGCCTTTTTCGGCCTCCCAGAGGCTGCAGACAAGCCTTTGTAGGCCGAAAAACAGGCCAATTTCATCACTTCCTGTATTTCAGGAAATACCGGAAGTGACGAAACAGGCCCATTTTTCGTCCTAAAAAGGCTGCAGAGGCTTCCCTTCAGCCTCTGGAAGGCTGAAAAAGGCCCAAAAATCAGCTGGGAGGCGCATTCATGCGCAGTGCAGGTAAGGAGGCAGTGGGGGAGGGTGGCGTGCGCATGCGCAGGGGGGACACGCATTGCCTTTTGGGTGTCGACATGTGAGCGCATGCGGGGAAGCGCACGTGCAATTTTCGGCACAGGAGCCCAAAAAGGTTAGCCACCACTACACTAGAACATGTAATTTACATTATACAGCACATTTATCTAAAAATAGTTGTAATGGTTAGTAGGGTCTGTTTCATTTTTGTTTTATTTCACGTGTTAGCTTATATTATGTGTTCCAAAAGCTCTCTAAAATTAGCACCTCTATTTTTAGGGACAATTGTTAATATGTTTTCTTAATTTATTTTTAAAAATGGCTAATTCTTAACTATGTTAATTAAAGATCGGAAATGTTATATTATCATGTTTTGACATTTTAGGTTGGGTGTGGTGCAATAGGCTGTGAAATGTTAAAAAATTTTGCACTCCTTGGTGTTGGTACAGGCCAAGAAAGAGGCAAGGTATGTTTCATATTCCCTCCTAATTTCAGTTCCTCTGAGTATATAGATAATTCTTATTTAGCAATCACAATTGGGACTGGCAAGTCTATCACTAGCAACAGAGTTATTAATCAAGGTATCATATGTCCAGGATGAATTTATGACATCACTTCTGCAACTTGTGATTTTAATGGTGTTTCTAATGACTTTCCTTGTTGGAAGCTAGCTGTGAAGCATGCAAATGGCAATCACTTAACCGCAGAACACTGTGATGGTCATAAACACCTACCAATTGTGAAGTGCCCAAATCTTGATCACATGATCACAGGGACTTTGACAGTTGTAAGTGCAAAGACTATTTATAAAATTACTATTTTCAACACCACTATAACTTCAAATGGTCACTAAACAGGGCAGTTGTTAAGTAAGAATTACCTCTATTGGTAATGTATTTTCCAATAACGTTGAAACAACAAAGCTAATGACTTGGATATAGTAGAAGTTGGAGCTAAGTTTGGATTGTTGAGTTCCCACCTGTAAAAATTAGTTCACTTTAGTTTTGATGTATAGTTTCTTGTAAAAAAAAGCTAATAACAAAAAAGTTTTTTTTTTTAAATTGGATGACTTGCATGGTTTAAGTAAAGGAATACAATATACAATATTTTGGAAATGTTTTGTTTCCATTCTTAAAATGATGTGAGGCAAGAAAACAGAATATTTCCAATACTGATTCTGATGTAACAGTTTTGACCACTTTACTGCTAATTCATAATTTCATCAATTGTCCAACATACAGGTTGAAATAACAGATCCTGACTTAATAGAAAAGTCCAACTTGAATAGGCAGTTTCTTTTCCGGCCTCATCACATACAGGTAGGTTGGAGTGCTAAGGACAAAATGTTTCAGTGATTTGTTAAAAAAATAGCTATTTTAATTAGGGAGCTATATTTGGATATATTTAAATATGGAGCAAATGTTTGGATTTTGTTAGAGTAATATTTCAGTATTCATCTAATTGAATACTAATTGGTTCTGGGAGGTGCGGAGAGTACAAAAAAGGATAAGTACCAAACAAACCATGTTTGTTTCAGCTGAGATGGATAAATTTTCTAAATACTTTAGTATGTTTCATTTTTGGTATTTTTTTCACCATGTAATCTTTTTATATAACAAGTGGGATTTCATACTTAAACTATATACAAGTAGTCCTTGATCTATGGCCTTAATGAAACCTGCCGATTATGGCCACAAATGGTGACAATGTTAAGTAAAAAAGCCTCACTTAATGACTCCCACCCCGCTGTATGTGATGCTGTCATCAAATGAATGGTCATTAAATGAGTGTGCAATATCTCATGAGTGTGGAAAACCCTGGGATGCCCATCATCCACCTGGATCCATAAAGGAGGCAGACTAACAGGAAAAGGTTTTGCAAAGCCAAAGACAGCCCAGCAGGGGGCAGCAGGAGCAGAAGAGCCTGGATAGATTATGGCCTAATGCTGTGTTCCGATGCCAGAGAAAGTTTCAAACAAGCCTTTGTGCTTGGGCAGTGAAGTTGAGATTGTGGATTGGGCCTCTGCCCTGATCAGCCAGCTGTCAGGAGACTGAAAACCTCTCCCTATTCTTGCTAGCCTTTGAGTAGCCAGCTGCCTGCATGCAGAAGCAGCAGCTTTAGGACAAGCTTTCCAAAACCTTTCCCTTGCTTAATCCCCTCCCTTCTCCAGAAACCCAAATTTCTTCAGTAAAGAAAACAAAAAGTTGGAAGGGGCAGACTTGTTGATTCTACCCCCCCCCTCCAAATTTAGTGCTGAAACTACTGTAAATTCTCCAACCCTGCCCTCTAATCTTGATCCTTTTAAAAGGGCTGCTTGGAAAAAAGCTGACAGAATCTATAAATTACTTACCTTGAGTGACTGTAGTCCTCAGCCTGCCTTCACTTATATGCTATGGCATTCACCCCCATCTACTTGTCTTCATGCCATGACACTGCATCACCCCTTGCACCCACACCTACTCTATAGCATTCATCTGCCATTGGCCTGCTTGTGAGCCACCTAAGGAAAGGCTTGTCCTGACTAGGATTTGCAATTTTCTGCCAACTTGACTATTGATTTGTTTGTTGAATGCTGACAGGAAGGTGGAAATTGCAGTCATGTGAGGTCCTCATTTAAAGACCTTCTCAATAATTGCAACGGGGACTTCCAGGATTGTGGGTACTAAGCAGTGCAATCACATGGCATCGTGCTTTATGACCACAATGCTTACAAATAGAAATTGTAATTCCAAGTACTGTTAATCAAGGACTACCTGTAACCTTCACGTTGCAAAATTTGGGAAATTTATTTTTTTAAGTAATGTTGGTATGATACCATTAGTTTTAAAATGTTGCTACCTCCCAGCATTAATGGGATTTGCAGTTATTCATGCTATAGTATTAAATCATTAATGCTTCTGAATATGACACTAATGTGAAGTTTCATTTTATAGGGTTGTTCCCATGAAAAATATTAACCAGACTAACTTCAATTTTGTTTAGAAACCAAAGAGTTGTACTGCAGCTGCCGCAACACGTAGCATCAATCCTGAGATAAAGATAGACTCATACCTTAACAAAGTGTGCCCAGCTACTGAGAACATATACAATGATGATTTCTACACTAAGCAAGATGTAATTGTAACTGCATTAGACAATGTGGAAGCTAGGAGGTATATTGACAGGTAAATCTGGGATCAGAGCTTGATTTCTTTTTTCTTGCTTTTTTTCTTCCATGTAGTAATTTATCTTTAGTTTCCTGACATTAATAATTGCTTCATGCTATATATAGCTCCGCTTCATTAAAAACAATTTATAAACTCTGTTTAATTCAAAACAATTTATCTAGGTTTATGCTATATTAATTTCAGTAAAAAGATATTTCTTGAAGTCCCTGATTAGACTTAAATTGAAACAGTTTCATTGCCTTCCACTTTCCTATCAAACTAAATTTAAGATGTGCATTGTAATGTGAATGGCTTAGGGCTGAGCTACTCATAGAACTCTTCATAGTAAAAAAAAAAGATTTGAGTTTCATATCTTTATTTGGTGGACTCAATCCCCAGTAATGGAAATGTTGCTTATTTTGGTAAGTCATTATAAATTTTATATAAATTTATGTAATAATTACATAATTATTTGTCTTTTGGAAAGGGAAACTCTTTCCTTCTAGTTTGCTTGTTAACTGTGATTCCATCTGGAAATACTCAAAGAGGTTATTTTAAGGTTAAAACATTCTGAATCAAAATGTTTTGTATAGTCCTTGACATTTATATTTTCTATAGAATAAATATAATTAATTGTTAAGTCATAAGAGCCATGGTGGTGCAGTGATTAGAATGCAGTATTGCAGACTAATTCTGCTGCCAGGAGTTCGATTCTGACAGACTCAAGGTTGACTCAGCCTTCCATCCTTCCGAGCTTGGTAAATGAGGGTCCAGATTGTTGGGGGCAATATGCCGACTCTAAACCAGTTAGAGAGGGTTGTAAAGCACTGTGAAGCACTACATAAGTCTAAGTTGGTTATATCTATGGTTTATTGAACTAAGGTTTGTATTTCACAGAAGATGTGTTGTACAGTACAAATCAAAATAAAACACACTAAAATATTATATTGTTGGGTTTATATATTGTGCTAAGGTGTGGTTTATCTTTTTCTAATATAACATTGAATATATTTATCACCTTGAAATTGCTTTAACTGCAAAATTTAAACCATTGCCAGCATAATAATAAATTAGAAGACAAAGGCCTTTTTTCTAAAGGCAAGGTGAGGGCCAAGTAACATGGACTATGTAATTCTAGCAACCTGGGCTTCCTTATACCGTAATTTAGCTTTATTTTATTTTCCTTAGAAGCCTCCTGTCTCAGTAATTGGAAGCAGATAAATTACTTTCACTTCCCCATGCTTGAAAACTAAAACGAGTGTATATAGATAACAAGATAGCTTCACTTTTTCAATTGTAAAAGAAAGAGCTCCTGCAGGGTTAATAACATCTGGTTTCTCTCTTCATGGACTCTAAGATTTTTCTTAATTAACATTCTGAAATCCCCACTTACCAGTATGCTAAAACTCATTTAAATGATCATGTTTAATATTGTATGATGTTAACATGTAACATGTTAAGCTTAATGTAACTGATTTTTTATGCAGGATGTTTTATTTTATCCAATCAACTTTTTCTTTGTACTTTTCTTTGTTGTGCTAATTATAAAAGAAAATTCCAAGGTTTTAACCAGTTTCCTCTTTTGAATAGAGAAAAACATTTCTATTCTGAAATGTTCCCAATATATCATACTTAAAATTGTCTTCCCTTCCTCTTGGTTGTTTAATTGGGGCTGAGTGTGCTGGGGCAGAATCTAATGACACATTTGGCTATCAAAATCAAGATATACGTAGTTATAATAATAAATGTATCCAATTATCTGATTCAATGTGGTGATCTATAATTAGTTGCTCTCTTTTTCTCTTTTCAGTCAGATAGTCTGAAATGAGTTGTCAACTCACATCATATTATTTTTCTTTCTTGTGTTGTATTATGAATCAATAAAAATAATTTTATTCTTTGCTTTTATTGTGAAGTCGTTGCCTAGCAAGCTTACGTCCTCTCTTAGATTCTGGAACAATGGGAACCAAAGGGCATACAGAAGTCATTGTGCCCCATCTAACAGAATCTTATAATAGTCATGTAAGTGGCCATAAAAATGATTTCCTTTACATTGGAGAAGATAATTCGTATTTGACCTCTTTTGAAATATATAAACTTTTCATGCTTTAGAAATCAACTGACATTAGATATTTGTATAGATTTTGTATATAAGATCAAAGTATTTTTCAACATGTCAAATTCTTTGGCTTTCGGAAACCATTTTAAGACATACTCAAAACCTAAAAGCAAACTATTACAATACTATAATTGATATCTAAAATAATTGAGGACTAAACCATATAGTAAGAAGAATGGTTGTTGATTTAAGGTAAAGTATTTCACTATTCAATTTTTCTTTGCCCATCCATGTTGGTATTTATGGTTTCCATAAACGTTAGTTGTCTTTGAAAATATAATTTACTTGTTAAGGCATTCTGATCTCATTGCTAAGATGATTTACTTAGAACATAGAATATCGGGGTTGGAAGAAACCTTGGAGGTCTTCTAGTCCAGGGGTCCCCAACCACCGGGCCGCGGACCGGTACCGGGCCGTGGA